GTGCCCTTTTATATTATTTATGCCTGAAAATATTCCCTCCCCCCTCAGTAGGAAACAACCCAGTTTTGCATAGTGTTCGATCATCTCAGCATTCCATGTTTTCCAAGCACCTCAGTGCCCGTCAGAGCGCCTCCTGCAAGGCCCGGCCGATGGGCTGCCTCAGCTGAGAGGGCGTTGCAGGCCGCCTGCAGCTTTCGGGTGGGAAGCTGTCCTTCGGTATTGTCTGCTCAGACTTTCGGAGAGCATTCTGAAGCAACCACAGCTGTAACCTGCTGTTTACAATAGCACATCTCATGATCGCCGTGAGTGCCTTCCACAAAGTGACAGCTGAGCCGCTGACTCTCTGCACGTGGGCACAGTTACGTCCGTCTTCCGGGCACTGACGTGCAGTGTCGCGGGGAGGGCTGAGGCGTGGCTGGGCTGTCGCAGGGCAGTCCGCCCACAGAAGGCAGCCAGGGCAGAGAAGGCCGCCGAGCCCTACGGCTTTAAACTTGCATGTGTCTATAAAATGGTCACGGGGCCTCTTGTTGAGTGTTCTAAGAGTAGGAACCAAATGAGACTTTAAATGGATGACTTTAGGAGAAAGATTTACATTTTAAGGAGAAAGGGGCGGGTTCCAGGGAGCCCTCTTGGCAGCAGCTCCCGTTAGTGTAGGATTGTGCTCACGGTGCCGCTACACCCGAAATCGTCCTCTTACTCCCAGCATGGGCGACACCTGGGCAGGGTGGCTGTTAGAAAAGGCTTCACATGGAGGGTGAGGAGGGTATGGTTTGAAAATCCCTGACTTTTTTCAGAATCGTGTCAGAGTAAACTGGCACCTAAGCTTTGGGTAGCAGAGCTGCCCATCAGTTATGCTGCCCGAGTGGCAGGGCGTCCTCAGCTGCCGATGGAGGCTTTCCTTCTCCGCCCCTGAAAACACACACAGAGCCCAGCTTTAATGGGCCATCGCTCCTTTTGGGAATGTGCGTCCCTTCGGGGAAAGAAACAGAATAATTCTCTTTCGAGTCTAGCAGTGTCAGCATTCAGTGAAAAAAAGGTAGTTTCCCAGAAATTACAGTGACACAGACTAGAATACTATGTTAATCTACTGTCTATACGAGTGCATCATAGTCCCTCACACGTTTATATGTTTTATAAATAGAACTTTGGTGAAATTCCTCGAGGAAGTGTAAGGCACGGCACTTCGCGGCCAGGTGTCAGGGCGCCCCAGCAGCGAGCTCCCTGCCCCGGAGTCCACGGCCGCGCCGTCCAGGATTCCTTCACGTTGCACAGATGCAGTTAGCTTTGGAGGGAGGGCTGCGTCCCGACGTCTGCGGACCACATCATGGGACACGATGAGGCCTGCGCCGCGGCTGCCAGTCGAGCTGCAGCAGCAAGTGGAGGAGACCGGGGCACAGCTCTTGGAAGGTGGCCGTTTCACACCAGGAGGCAGGTGTTGGCCCAGACCCAGGTCCTGAACGGCTTTGAGAGATGGAGTTTGGACATGGGACCTGCCCGCCGGGAAGGAAGACAACTTTACCTTCAGGGCAGCCTCATTGCGGACGCCTTATTTATATGATTAGTGACGCTGTTTTAAGTGTTATCCCTTTATTGTATTTTATTTATAAAAATGCCTTTATATATGGAGATATATAAATATAAATATAAGTATATATATAATTGCCTGTATGTTTAGGAGTTCTGAGTCCTCCCTGACCATGAGCTGTTCTGAACTGCCGTGCCCCGCGCAGTCCCCAAAGCTGGTTCTGCCTGGTGTCACTTCTCCAGGAAGCCCAGGGACACGGCCCACAGCGGGAGGTGGCATCCCCGTCTGCGGGCACTGGGCACCGGGCTGGAGCTCATTACCGCTGTCTCGCCACCCTCACAGCAAACCCACAAAGTAGGTGTTGAAGCCCACAGGCCTCACAGCGCCCGCCCGCACGTGAGCCCGGCTGGGGTGGAGCCGTAACCTGAGCCCCTTCCACTTTTCCACGCCGCGTTCCAAAGCACTGTGGTTCCCTCATCAATGGCACCCGTCCAATCCACGTGCTCCCGTCCGCCTGCCGCCGCTCTGCTCCCGTCCGCCTGCCGCCGCTCTCACAGCCAGGGAAGCTGCCTCTGCCCACGTGGGGCGTGGGGCCCAGCTCCCAGAGTCCACTCTCTCCCCCTGATCCCCCCACCCCCCACCTCCCCTGTGCCCACCTCCCCTGTCCCCCACCAGAATCTGATCTTGGCTTGGCTTAGTGACACTAGTGGTTCAGGCTTCTTCCTGTTTCTTCGTCTTAGAATTCTCTGTGATTCTTCGTTTTAGCATTAAACTTCCCCATTTCTGTTACATCATTTCACTCTCTCCTTCCCCCCCCTTTTCTCGATCAGGCACTGGTAGTCTGGTGACAGGTGACAGGCTGGTGGTGTACGGGGTGTAAGTTAAACTGCAAGGTTTTGAACCTTGTGACGTGGTCTTTTCAAACATTTCTCCCGCCTATTGTTTCTGTTGAACGAGTCTGGAGGCTGGAGCGTCCGGGACAGCGAGCAGACCGTGTCTGTGCCGTACCTCCTTCCAGCTGCGGAGCAGCTAAGAGGTTCCCGTTATGGTGGGACCCCCCTGCGTTGCTGCCTGCTAGAGCATTGACTTGGAGGTGCCCGTGTTTGTATCCTGTTGGAAAGTATGTTCTGTTTCCCTGAAAAGCTGTAACAGCCTGTCTGAGATTGTACATATTTTGAAGGATGTAGCTTAGACAGGTTCTATTGGTGGATATGATTTTATATTAAAAGAGAATGCTGCTTCCATGGAGACCGCGGTGCAGGGGCCTCAGCTGCTCCCTGTGTGTATAAAGCTGTTGTAGCTGTGATTGCGGGGGGGGGGGGGGGGTGTGGCTCTTACTCTGAAATTCTTTGCAACCTCCACCCTGCCCTCCCTGGAACCACCACCCACCCCCTGCACACGGCCAAGAGCCCAGTGAGTTCATCCCTTCTGTTCTGAAGGAACAGGATCTAGGACAAATGGGAGTGGGGGGAAGCTGGGGAAATACCTGAGCCTCGCAGCTGTGTGGAGGCAGGCAGGCCCCCTTAGGGGATGCAGTGTTCCTTCCCAAGGCAAGGCAGAGAGTGGGAGGGGAGCATGAGGAGGGGAAGGCAGGGTGGAGAGTGGGAGGGGAGCATGAGGAGGGGGAGGCAGGGCAGAGAGTGGGAGAGGAACATGAGGGGGAGGCAGGGCAGAGAGTGGGAGAGGAGCATGAGGAGGGTAAGGCAGGGTGGAGAGTGGGAGAGGAGCATGAGGAGGGTAAGGCAGGGTGGAGAGTGGGAGAGGAGCATGAGGAGGGTAAGGCAGGGTGGAGAGTGGGAGAGGAGCATGAGGAGGGGGAGGCAGGGCAGAGAGGGGGCGTGGATGGTCCCTCCTCATGGTGCTGTGAGCTCTGGGCTAGAAGCAGCTGGTTCCTGCCCTACAAAATCAGGGTCTGTGCTGCTGACCCAAAAGCCAACAGGGTCCTTTGCATGGAGTGGGGCCCTGTCCTATCTATTCCCTGTGGCGAGCCGGCACGGCCATGGAATACTCAGCCCCACATCGGGCTCCTTATGTGCTGAGTCAGCTCAGCCAGGTTTGGTGAGCCCGATTGGGGGCGGTGAAGGATGGAGAAAAGACAGACAAGAGAATGAGCCGGGTCTGGGTGGGACGCTGTCCTCTCTGATGGAGAGAGACAGTGCCACGGACTACAAGCCGTGTCTTTATTTTATAGCCAAATTCCACGAGGCAAAGTAAGGGCGTGGTCAAGATGTTTACAACATTCTCGTGGGTTTCGATCCTACTCAACTACATGCACCTGAACTCTGTCAAGCCCACATCACTCAGACACATGGGGCCATGTGTTCAGACCATAGGTTCAAGCTTACAACTCTAGCTGTTGGCTATCATTGTGCTGGGAGGGCTCTGCCCTCCAAGCTGGGACTTGCACGTGGCCATGAGAGGACTGTGCCCTCTCATTAGTCCATGGCTTGAACCTGTCCAAACACTGTAGCCGCTCTCCCCAACCCCCCACATTTAAATAAGGCTTCCCTAAACTGGAGCCCTGTCCTGAGGGCTCGGAGGGGACCCAACACCCCTTTTCTAATAAAGCCTGAATCTGTGAGAACCTCCGAGGCCACTTGCCTTCCTCCTGGCAGCTGGCTAGGCCCTGGCTGCTCCTCCGTGTCCCCTGCAGGGCCAGCCCCGAACAAGCATCGGTTTGTGTTTCTCAGTGTTTCAGACACACACACACTTGGAGCCAGTGAGTCACACTGGCGGCTGGCGGAGAGGGACTTTGGAACAGCCTGGGTCCCCTCTCAGCCAGCGCCCCCGCCTGGGGCAGGAGTGGCCTCTGCTCCCCTTGTGGGCACAGACCCGGGGGCCTGGCACCTGCATCCTGTCCCTCTTCACCACCTGCAGGCCTGGGGCCACTCCTCCCCCACAGGGAGTAGACGGAGCCCTGGCCCTGGCCCTGGCCCTGCTCCTGCTCTGCCACCAGCGCTGACGGCTGGTCCTGTAACCGGGTGTGTCCTCGGGGAGGGATTTGAGGCGTGGAGAGTAAAGAGCCAGAAGACCGTGTCACTGCAGGTGAATGACGGGGACTCGTGCCTCCACATCCTGCACCCCATCTCCCAGCCTCCTCCTGGCTGGAGAACTGGGGCCCACCTGAGCCTGGGGTGGCCTTTCCCTGTGGGAGTTGCAGTGGAACAACCCCCGCTGGTGAGAGTGTCAGCAGGTTTATTAGGGATTGCTCGGCGCCCGGCCTGCTCAGGGAACCAGGCTGTGCCTCCCGCACCGCGTCTCGCTGCCCACAGGCACCTGCTGACCCATGTCCTGTCTGTCTCACCACGGGGCCAGGACTTCCCTTCTAGCCGAGTCCTTGGCGGCCATGGGCTGGCCTCGCACAGGGTGTAAGGCTGGGCGTGAAGCGGAGAGGGGGCCTTGGTGTCACCTTGCTTTTAGGACCAAGTGTGACAGTGGGGGCCCCTCTCCCTGTCCCCCCACTTCCTCCTGGGCCTCAAGGTGTTGCAGTCACTGTGATGGTGACGTTCACTGGCGCATCCATGGACTCCTGCGCCGGATCCGAAGCTGGGGTGGCAGGTGGCGTTTCAGTGCCTGAGGAGCAGAATGAACAGGCAGAGAGGTGCCTGGGGGGTGAGGGGTGGGGGGAGGAGTCCCAGGTGGTCCTTAGAGGACAAGAGACATCATGCATCACGCATGAGACCCGGGACCGGCCCCCTTTACATGAGTCGCCTTTGGGATAAGATGCCGCGTACCTGCCTGCGCCTCAGGGCCCTCCGCCGAGCCCCTGTGTGGGTGGCTCTGCTCCCTGAGGGCGAAGTGGGACAGCGAGGTTAGTGACAGCCACACCGTCCCAGCCTCGATTCCTCCCGAGCCCCGAATGGGGTCCGCACTCACGTGGGAACGAGCAGCTGCCCGAGGCCTGCAGACAAGGGGGAGGGGCGCCTTAGTGAGCAGCAGCCCAGGTCGCAGGAGAGCCCTCCTCCCCAGAGGCTCCCGCAGAGACCAGGAGCCCGAGGGGGTGCCTGAGGCCGGGGTTGGCCCCAGGAGCATCTCACATTGTCCTACTCCTGGGATGGGGGGGGATGGGAGGGTGGGGGGGATGGTCCTGCATCTCCCTGGGGTCATGGAGACCTGGCTGCCTTCTGGGGTCAAGCAACCACCCCCTTCAGTTTCCCACTCACAGGGGAAGGCCTCCGGGTGCCGGGCCGCGTACTGGAACACCAGCAGAGAGGCCACCGTCGCCACCACCATGCCTGTGCCCGCGGCGCCCAGCACAGCTGGGTAGGCGCTCAAGGGCGGGTCCGCTGGGAGGGAGAGCAGTGGATGCACAGGGTAGGTTAGAGCCACGGCTGAACCTGGCAGCAGTGGCTCAGAGGGTGCCAGTTCCCCCTGCACCCCCGGTGGGTGATCAGGGGCGAGGCCGGACCCAGAGCGCCTGTGTGCCCCGTGTTCTTGAGTTGGATCCCCAGCCGAGTCCCTGTGCTTGGCACCGGGGGCAGCGGGCCAGTTATCTCGGCAGCTGCCGTGTCATGAGGAGTCCCCAGGACGGGGAGAGCATGGGAAGCCGGGGGCCCACCGTGTGCCCCCGGGATGAGACTGAGGCACAGAGGCGGCCCTCTCCTTCCTCCATCTCCCCTTCCCTGCTTCTGATTAGAGCTGAACTATGGCTCCTACCCCTCGGCTGACACCTCGGGCCTCCCCGGGAGGGAAGGCGGGGGAGAGGACAGAGATGGGGCGGGAGGGATCCAGCAGGAAGGAGCAGAGGGATGGAGCCGGGGTGCCCTGTGAGGAGGAAGATGGGCAGGGCTCGCTTTGGGGGGCAAGGCGAGCCTCGCAGGGCGCTAGCCCAGCACCTGGTATCTTCCCCTCAGAGGGATGTCCCGCCGTGCGGTGGTTCAGAGCCAGGATGCGGAAGGTGTAGAGCACCCCGGGGTCCAAGCCCCCCAGCCGCCGGGCTCTGCTCTCCGGCTCGATGTCGCCGGCCGCGGTCTCCCAGGCCGCAGCTCCCGGGCCCGGAGCGCCCGCCCTGCGCTGCACCAGGAAGCCGGTCAGGTTGCCGGGGCCCGCGACCGCCCACTGCAGCTGCACGTCTCTGCGGTGCCTCCCGTAGGTCAGGCGGCTGATGGTGACGTTGGGGGGAGCTGGGTACCCTGGGGGCGAGGGTGGGACACATGCAGGCATGTGCACCACCACACGTGTGCATGTGTGAGTGCGTGTGTGTGTCCATGTGCGCCCAGGTGCGCATATGCTTCTGCGCCCCATTTGCTCCAGTTGCATCGGGAGCTGGCAAAGGTGCAGACGCGCTCAGTTCTGTCGTGGGGCCAGTGTTGCCCTGGCTTCCATTTCTAGGCCCGTTTCCTCGCCTACGAACTGAGGAAAAGGAGATGATTCTGCCCGCCTGAAGCTGTTGGCCTGTGTCCTAGTGTGCGTGTGCCTCGCGGCCAGTAGCCCTGGAGGGTCGTGTTTGTGAGGGGCTGTCTGCCTGCGGGAGCTAACGGCCCACATGCTAAAAGGAATTCCAGTGCCTCCCACCTGCAGGGCCACATGGGGCTGGAGGCTTCCCACCTCCCTGGACACACAAATGCCCCCCCAACACACACACACACACACACACACACACACGTGCACACATGCACACACACTCACGGAGGACCTCCAGCAGGATGCTGCCACTGCTGTTGCCCACGGCGTTGCGAGCCACACACTGGTAGGTGCCCCCGTGGCGAGCTGGGTCTGCACCGCGGATGCTAAGGTGGAGCTGGGAGCCCTCGGGGTGCAGCATGAATCCGGAATCGCCCGGTTCCAAGAGCTGCCGCTGGGGTCCCAGCCAGAGGAGGTGGGCAGGTGGTGTGCCCCCCAGGAGGACACACCGCAGCCAGGCTTCTTGCCCCTCCAGCACCGACACCTGGGCCGTAGCCACTGCCAGCTGTGGGGCTTCTGCAGGGAGAGAGAGCAAGGCTGGAGCTGTCCCCTGAGCCAGGGGTGTGGAAGGCCCAGGGGAAGGTGCTGGCCAGTGGTGGGGGGAGGGGAGAGAGAGGAGGCGGGGGGGGGGGGGGGGGGGGCCGTGCAGGTGACAGTGAAGCTGTCCTGGGCCAGACCGTCTCCTCTGAAATTCTATGCAGATTCCTATCGCCACCTGCTCCAAAGTTAGGTGATGATAGATAGCAGTGTTCCTCCTGCCAACCCCAGGCTCTGCGCCTGCCTCCCTCACCTGGGCATCCACCTCCTCCCTCTCCACACCTGGCTCAGGGCCTCCTTCCCCCAGGGGCCCCCCAGGGGCTGCCACCTCCCGCCCCGCCCAGGCAGGGCTCATAGCAGGTGCTTGGTTTTTAGGGGAGGATTCCTACAACCCAGAGGTCAGGTGTCAGGGAGCCCAGTCCTGAGACTGAGTAACAAGGGAGGGACATATTCTGGTTGAGGAATTTCTCAGAGCCCCTGAGGCAGGCTGCTTGGGGACTAAGATGTAACTCATTTTGTGAGAATGATTATCGATAACGGCTCCTCTGCTTGCTTTTCTCGCATTTTTTACTCTAATGTATAGCTTCTTTAAACAGTAAATGGGACTGGCAGGGCCAGGAGACAGAGAAAGGAAGCTGAGTGAGAGGGAGTGAGAGAGGTAAAGGCCTCTGGCACCTGAAACATGAATTCAAGTCAGGAATACAATCGGGCACCTCTCATGCAAATTGATGCAAATGAGGCAGACAGTCAGAGCCCCTCATTGGCTAGATGGGGGCTGCCCAGCCACACGTGACTGCTGCTGTAAATACATACACCAGATTTTGAAGACAGTCCAAAAAACAATGTAAAATACCTCCTTAGTAATTTACACATTGAAATAATCTTATATTGGATATATTGAGTTGAGTAAAATGTTCCACCTATTTCTTTTTGCTTCTTTTAATGTGGCTACTAGAAAATTCAAAATTCTATATATGGCCCTGGCTGGTGTTGCTAAGTGGTTAGAGCGTCGGCGCATGCACCAAAGGGTTGCAGGTTTGATTCCTGGTCAAGGGCACACACCTGGGTTGCAGGTTTGCTCCCCTCCCCCAGTTGGGGCAGGTGTAAGAGGCAACCAACTGATGTGTCTCTCTCATATCAATGGTTCTCTCGCTCTCTCTCTCTCTCTCTCTCTCTCTCTCTCTCCCTCCCTCCTTCCCTTCCACTCTCTCTAAAAATCAATGGGAAAAAATATCCTCAGGTGAGGATTAACAACAAAAATAAATAAATAAAAGTATATATATGGCTCACATTATATTTTTTTGGTCAACACACACATAGACTAAACCCCCTAATTTTATGGATCAAAAATACTTGAGTCCCTGGGAGGTGAGTTGACCAGTCTCTGGACTCACTTTGCGCCCCAGCACAGCTGCCCCCAGCCCCTCGGCCCCATTCCGAAGGGGTGCTCCTTCCACCCCATCCCAGAACCCAGTCCCTAGCCTCCACTCACCCAGCTGAAGCCGGCAGTGGGGACCGGGGACCCTGAGCGGGTGAGTGCCCTGGCAGGTGAACACCCTGCCAGCCAGGTCGCCCAGGGCCGGCAGGAGGTGGACCGCCAGTGAGGCGCTGCTGCTGCCCAGCGGCTGCTGCTGCCCATCCAGCCAGCTCAGCAGGGCGGGGGGCTCGCCGCCAGCCCACTCGCAGCTCAGCATGATGAACTGCTCCCCCGATGTGGCCATGGTCCAGCACGCAGGGTTCCGGTGGGGTTCCCCTGAGGAGGGAATACAGCTCAGCATAACCCTCCAGGGGGAAGGAGACCCAACAGGCCCAGCCCGTCCCTCCCTCCTTCATTATTGGTTCACTCGCCCATTCCTCCCTTTCCTCAGTCAACTCATCTATTTTTTCATTTATTATTTGTTGAAGGCTGACCATGTGCCAGAGAAATAGTGGCAACAAACGCTAGCAAAGAGTTACAATACAGCCTGATGAATGCTGGGGTGCAGGTGGAGAGACAGCTATCTGCAGCCTCGGGGAGAAGGACTTGGTAAACAAGTTGACGTTGAACTTGGTCTTTGGTAGATGGACAGGAGTTTCCAAGTTGGAGAGAAAGTTCCAGGCACAGTTCAAGAACAACATGCAGTAGAGCCGTAGAGTTGTATGTGGGGTTTGGGGGGGAGGGGGCAGTCGGGCGGGGGGAGGCAGGAGGTGGGAGGTGAGAGCCTGCTGATCCTGGAGGCTGGGAGACAGTTAGGAGGGGGTCACAGGCTCCCACGCCTGAGATGAGGAGGACGGGCCTCAGTGCAGGTGGAGACCAGCCGGGGTGGAGAGAAGTTGGGAGGTGGGGTCTGGGCTGAGTACTGCCACCTCCCTGTTACGTGGAAAGTCTCAGAATTTGTGGTCAGAGTCCCACCCAGACCCAGGGCCCCTCCATCCTCCCCCCTAGCCCTCCTCTCTCCTCTGCCTGGGGTGTCAGAGCCCAGCTATCTCTGTGTCCACTCACACAGCGCAGTCCTGCAGGGGGCGGGCAGCGCCAGGGCGGGGTGCTGGCCGGTGCAGGTGAAGACGCTGCCGTTGGGCAGCTGGGTGGCTGCGTGGCTCCAGGTGACATTGCTGAGGGCGGCAGGGCCCGTTCCCTGGGGCCCTTCCCACTGCAGCTGGGCAGCTGGAAGCCCCCCAGGCCAGGCGCAGACCAAAGTCACAGCCCCGGGGGCGGGGAGCACTGCACAGGAGGGCTGCCCCTCGGGGGGATCTGGGGACAAGTGGGCTCCGATGGGGCTGGACCAGGCCACACTGCCCATGCGCCAGCACCCCTGGGGCCAGAGGCGTCCTGGTAGGTGACGTGGGGAGAAGTGGGTGAGCTGGGAAGACCGACACCTCTGAGGGGCTGGTGAGCAAAAGGCTGAGCTCTCAGGTCAAGGGGCATGGCTTGGGGGCTGGGCGGGAGGTCAGAATCCCTGGGCAACCCCGGGGGCTCCCATGGAAGCCCCAGCAGGAAGTGTTCCCATGCCCCACTGCCATCCTCACCTGGGCACCGAGTCTCACTGTCCTCACTCTGCCCCTCTCTGTGCCGCAGCTCAGTCCGGGGACCATGGGGACAACCCCTCAGAAGGGCTGTCTGCACAGGGCGGGGGGCAGTCCCTCTCCCTGCCCTCCCCAAGGTTTGTTAGCCTCTCCCCCTGCTCTGCAACTCCAGTTGGTCCCCCAGACCTGCCTCCCCCCAATATCTGCCCCATTCCCCAAGGGCGTGTGCAGTTTGCAGGAGCACAGGGTGGCGGGGGTGGGGGTGGGGTTGGCACACACTCACAGTAGATGCTGAGCTGGATGGCAGTCTGCGTGCGGGTGTCCAGGCGGCTGTTGTGGGCCAGGCAGGTGTACAGGCCAGTGTGGGCGCGGCTGGCGCTGGCGATGGTGTAGGTCGGCCCGGTGTGGACCTGCGTGTGGTCCCGGAGCCACACATAGTGACTAGGGGGGTTGGATGCAGCCAGGCAGCTCAGAGTCACTTCTTCCTTCTCACTGGCCCAGAAACCCTCCTCGGTGAAGCCCGGCGGCTCCATGGTGACCACAGGCTTGTCCGGACCGTCTGGGGGGCAGGGGAGGCCGTCACACCTGTCCAGTCTGCATTCCTGAATCTGCTCATGTGACCACCGCCACACCTACTCACCATCCAGCCACCACATCTTACGCACCAATGGCGTCAACCACTCTGCCAGGCCCCTGAGGAGCCAGAGTCCAGGGGCCACAGGCACAGCGCAGTGTGGGAGACGGGGATCTGTGGAGTGAGCCCCAGGCTGGGGCTGGGCTGGGCTGGGCTGCACTGAGGTAGGGGACAGGCCCGAGTTGGGTGGGCAGAAGAGGGCGCCCAGCCCTCTCACGTTGCCTGGCGTTGAGGAACTGGCCCAGCTGGTCCCTCGAGATGAGAGGGAAGAGAACAGGGTGGGCAGTGCCCGGGCATGATCCCAGCAGCCAGCTCTCTCCAGTTCTTTGGGGTCTCCGCCTTCCCCTCTCTCCTGTGTCCTTTCTCCCTGACTCCTGGCAAGGACGGAATTATCTTCCCGCTTCTATTCTGCCTCTGCATCGTTCCCAGGAACTGTTCAGCTGTCTCCTCCACAGTCCTCACCCTACAGTTCCCGAAAGACCGTGGTCGGCAAACCGCGGCTCGAGAGCCACATGCGGCTCTTTGGCCCCTTCGGTGTGGCTCTTCCACAAAATACCACGTGCGGGCGCGCACGTACAGTGTGATTGAAACTCCATGGCCCGTGCGCAGAAGTCGGTATTTTGTGGAAGAGCCACACCGAAGGGGCCAAAGAGCCGCATGTGGCTCGCGAGCCGCGGTTTGCTGACCACTGCCACAAGCCACCTCAAACAAGACGGACGAGACCCCGTCAGTCCCTGCTCCTTAAAGCCTCCGGGCCAGCACTGGCCAGCAGCCATGTGAGCCACAGATGCTTAAATCCCCAGTAGCCAGATCTTCAAAAGGAAAAGCACCCGAACTCAACCACGCAGAAAACATCAGTGGGTGTTAATAACTTTAAGGTTTTTTTTTTATTTAACCAAATACATGCAGAATATTCTCATGTTAGTGTATAATCAATATAAAAATTAAAGACGAGCTATTTTATATTCTTTCTTTAGCAACACCATCCTGTGTGCACCTGACACTCCAAGCTCATCTGTTTGGTTTGGTCACGTGTGCGTGCTCAGGGCCACGCGTGGCCACCACGCTGGGCAGCGCTGCTCTAGACCGTCTGGTCCTCATCTTTCACACAAACTTCCCATCCCTTTCAGAAGCTCATTCCCGTTCTGTGTTCTCCTCGTTCCTGACCCAACTCTCCTGGTCTCCCCTCCACTTTGTACAGCTGGCTACTTCCTCCTCGCTGGCTGCTTCCTCCTCGCTGGCTGCGCTGGAGTTTTGTTCTGCAATTAACCCCTCCTTTGCTCTCAGGAGTCCCTGTAGGGACCCACCTGTGCCCTCTTTACCCAAAATGCCCCCTGCTTCCTCGGGTCCGGGTGGTCCCTGCGAGTCCTTCAGGCTTAACCCAAAGGCAGGCTTTCGGGGCCACCCCTGAACAGTGGGTAAACTTGTGACTGCGAATCTAGGTGCATTTTCCTGGGAAGAGGGGCTCGTGACCTTGACAAGGTTACAACCCAGTGTCCTGGAGCCGCATTTGGCACCAGTGGGTGCAGCACCCCGAGGCTGGGGCACTCCCGGGGGACCCGGAATGTGTCAGGAGGCCGAGTGAAGTGGGTAGCTGGGTGCCGGCCCTGCCCACCTGCCCCCACACCTGTCAGACTCACAGATGACGTCCAGGAAGGCCCCGTCGCTGCTCAGCTGGTTGACGGCGTTGTGGGCGCTGCACACGTACCAGCCCAGGTGTGTCCGGTTGACTGGGTCCAGCAGGAGCACTCGCTCCCTGACCCCCAGCGGGGCCTCCCCGTGGCCTCTGGGTGCCTGATGCTTCCAGGCAAAGGTCACGGGCTCCGTGCCCTCCCGCACTGTGCACGTGGCCACCACCGATGTCCCCTCCACGGGGGACGGCTCGCTCAGCCGCACCTGAGGCTTCGACACAGGCACTGCCAGGAAAGAAGAGGCCCTGTGTTGGTCATCGCAGACCCAGGCCGTGCCCGCTGTGCCCGGTGGCCCAGCCCTTGCTGGCTGGGGGCTGGCCGGCCCACAGTCTCCCGAACACCCAGGCGTCCTCCTTCCCCGGGCGTGGCCTTGCAGCACCTGGGCCCCGCAGCACCCAGCGGGCAGCGCATGCAAAGGGGCGCACGCCATGTGCACAGCACCCAAGCCCAGGCCCCTGCCGTGCCCTCACCCAGCACGGCCAGGCTGAAGTGGGAGTAGGCGGTGTGCAGCCGGCCTCCGGTGGCGTGCAGGGCCTGGCACAGGAAGTGGCCGCGGGCAGCCTCCCGCAGCTCCCCCAGCACCAGGCTGCTGTTCCGCAGGCTCACGGTCCCCAGAGCCGAGGCCCCGGCCTCCACCTTGAACTCGGCTCCACTGGTGACAGCCACCGGCCGGGGGATCTGCGAGCCCAGGGGGGTGAAGCTCCAGAAGACCACCACGGGGGCGGGCGGGGAGCCACAGGCCAGCTCCACAGAGCCGCCCCGCACTCCCTGGACGGACGCCACCTCCTCGTCGGGCTGCCCTGGGGACAGTGACATGCGGGACATTTGAGCTGCCGAGCTCTCCTGCCCCCTCCTTGCCCAGAGCCTGCTCTGCAGCCGGGACAGACGGGGCAGGTTGGATCCAGGTTGGATCCGACAGCACAAGCCCTTGGGGAGTTGGGGCAGAGACGGTTTCCAGGGGGAGCCTGCAGCCTCCTGCCCGGCTGTGCTGTAGGAGCAGAAGGCTGGGGACCAGCCAGGTGACGACTCAAGAGTCAGGGGAGCTGTGTGGCCACTGGCCATCTAGGCTCCGGGGACCTCAGGGAAGGGTGCCAAGGGGTTTCAGACCCAGCGGCAAAGGGAAGGCACCGCCTGCCTGCCATCGGCCCATCCATCATCCGTTCACGTGTCAGCTGTTTACACCATCAAGTGCCTGCCTCGTGCCAGGCACCAGGGTGGCAGTGACAAATGAGCCACCCCACGGGGACTCCCGTAGAGTCCATCAGAGAGTCAGACATCAGCTCATTGTCACGGGGCGAGGCTGCCCAGGCCTGGCACGGACCCCAGCATCCGCCGGGGCACCAGGGTGTCCTGCCCCTGCAGCCAGGCGGCTCCAACATGCTGACAGCCCCAGCGCGCGGGACTGGCATAAGGGCCGCAGGGAAACTGAGCCACAGGAGCAAGCCACGCCAGCTTGCCTTTGCTGAGTGCGAGGCTCTGTCCTGCACGCTCCCCTCGGGACCCGCTGCCCCTAATTGTTACAATAATTACATCCCGAGACTCTGAAACACGAAATCGCGTGTCCAAAGCCACACGGGAGGCGGTGGGGCTGCAGCGGAGCCCAGTCCAACACCCCGGCTGAGACTCTCCTCGGCTGTCGGCTCCTCCAGAGAGAGGAAAAGACAGGCCTGGAGTCGGAGGGGGGGATCGAAGGCAAAATTCTGAGGTTCGATTAATCAAGAAGGACAAGAACCCAGAAACGGATTCTCTCCCGTCCCACCAGCTGCCCGTGCCCTGACGACCACCAGGCTTGGAAGAAAGAGTGAAACCAGGTCACTCGCATGTTCACAGCGGGGCAGTGGTCCTCGGGATGCCCCCCCCCCCGCGCCCCCCGCGCTTCTAGGGTGATGCAGAGCCCTGTTTGGGCCCTGCCTCCCCCACCCGACAGGCAGAAGCCGCTCAGAGCACGCTGGCTGATGGCTAGCAGGTCAATGACACGAATGGACTTGATGGCTACGTGAGTGCGAAAGAAGGATCCCGAGGAAGAAAGGGGAGGAAATGCCTGGCCGGCGTGGCTCAGTGGTTGAGCATCGACCTATGAACCAGGAGGTCAATGGTTCGATTCCCAGTCAGGGCACTTGCCTGGTTTTTGGCTCGATTCCCCAGTGTGGGGTGTACAGGAGGCAGGCAATCAATGATTCTCTCTCATCATTGACATTTCTCTCTCCCTCTCCCTTCCTCTCTGAAATCAATAAACATATCTTTTTTTTAAAAAAATACAAAAGAAAGAAAGGGGAGGAAATAATGGGACGCGAGTGGGAATGGGATCCTGTGGGGGTGGTTTGAGTATCGCTCACCTGAGGCCCCGAGACACAGCAGGCAGAGGGGTGGCAGCAGCAGGAGGCTGGGTGGTCTGCGCAGGCCCCGCCGGCTGTCCACGGCCCCCATCGCCTGCGTGGCCGCCTGTCTGGCGCGGAGCCTGCCCGACTTGCGGGCTCCGTCTCCCCAGGCAAAGCCCGCCAGAAAGATGGGGTCCTGGCTCGGGTTGCCAACCTCAGCCCTTGGCACCTTCACCCCTGCTCTCCTGTTACCTCCCTGCCCCGATTATGGGTGAATTATTTACCAGGTGATTCACTCCATCCATAATGCAGGAGGCAAGGCCCCCCGTGCAGCACTCCTGACCGGGGATCCGAGGTTCAGACTCCCCCTTCTGTGGCCTTCGCGCCCTCCGCTCGCCTCACGTCTTGTCAGGAGCACGTGGACCCTGACGGGAGCTCTGGAGTCCGGCTTGGGGTTGACCGGTGAACTGTGGAACTTCGGGGTGGTTTTGAGCCTCTTCCAGCTTTCGTTTTTTTCACAGAGAAATGGAGGGAAAACTCTTTCTAGTAAAGATGATTGTGAATATTAAATGAAAAAACTTATATTAGCATAAGGGGGCTTCTTGGGTGCTAGTAACGTCCTATTTCTTGGCTTGAGCAGGGGTTACCGTTCATCAAGCTGTACATTCATTTGTATATACTGTTACATATGCTTGATAAAACGCACACACACACACACACACACACACACACACACCACTCCACACCGCACACCACACACCACACCACACCACGCCTGAGCAGTACCAGTGTGTAGTTGGTGCACCATCAGGCCTGCTCTATCTGGATTTGACCTACGAAGTCTGGACCCTGAAGCTGGCATCCTCCTAACCAGGGCTCTGAATCCCAGCTCTCCCCTCTTCCTCCTCCTCTTTCTCTCCTTTCTCCTCCTCCTCTTTCTCTCCTTTCTCCTCCTCCTCCTCCTCCTCCTCCTCCTCCTCCTCCTCCTCCTCCTCCTCCTCCTCCTCCTCCTCCTCTTGATATCCTGCTGCCTTAGCGCTCTTTGCATGACAACTTGAGATGAGGTCAGAGTTTTCCATCCTCTGGCGGCAGGTAGGGAGGTAGGGAGGTAGGGAGGTAGGGAGGTAGGGAGGTAGGAGGGTGAGAATCCTAGGCCCCACTGAGGCTGGGGATCTGGTGTCAGGTGTCAGGTTCATGGGGCTGAGCAGGGTCAGGACACTTCAGAGCTCAGTGCCAGGCAGGCCCCTCCCACGCCCAGGGGTGCTCGCGAGGGCACTCCGGCCTCTCACTTGCCCTTAGACTGTGGACAGACCTCTGTGCCACTCTCACTCAACCCACGGCCAAGGTCCCTCCATGCCATCCTTGGGGTCTTGAGCCCCCGTTCGGCTTTAAGCAGAAGGGCAGGTGGTCCCTGGGAGTCAGGCTCCCATGATGTGGGGCTGACACATGTCTGACTGGCCCTGTTGTCCAGGCCATGTGGCCCCCTTGTTTGATCCCCCACCCTAAACTGGGACGATCTTCCGATGTTCCTCTGGGAGCAAGGAATGGGGTTTGACTGCCGTCTGCCTCAGGGTGGGTAGCAGCTCAGTCTCCAGATCAAACGTGAGGCTCAGGCTGGTGAATTGGGGGAAGATTGACCTTTTCGTTCCCTCCAGGCCTTCCACTGATTGGACGCGGCCCACCCACACGGGGTGGGGACCATCTGCTTGACCCGGTCCCCCGATTCAAACGTTACTCTCATCTGGAAGCACCTTCAAAGACACACCTGGGATCAGGTTTGACCAAATCTCCGGGTCCCGCGGCCTCGTGAAGTGACACGTAACCTAACCATCATAGAGGCAAGTGAGTGGGTCCCCGATCCTGCAGCCCAGCTCTGCCAGGCTGGACTGCGGCCCCGTCCGAAAGGAGAGGAAGCGGGACAGGAACGGGAGAGCAGGCCCACGGCCAGGAGAGCCCAGGGGAGCGCCCTTCATGTATGAGAGGCAAGAGAGGACAAGGGTCAGGACGCAGCTGCCCTGGTTATTGCTGTGTCGCCCAGCCTGTTGCTTACCCCCTCTGAGCTTCAGTTTCTTCACTTATACGGCATTTTTCTTAGGAAGAGTGAGTGAGGTTATGCATCTCTGGCACCTGCCCATCAAAATCACTTATACCCCTGACCTGCGGAATGTAAACCACGAGTTCAGCAATCATTTCCTCGAGCATCTACTAACTGCAAAGCACAGCGCTGTATGTGGTTGGGCGCCCCCCTTCCTCCCCTCCCCTCTTCCCCAAGGAGCATCGTCAGCCAAGACGGGCAACCCAGCACTGCCCTTTGCTCTGGGCATGCTCCGTGCTTCTCATCCGCCCTCCTGCCCAGGCCCTGTGAGCGCCTGCATCCACAGCCTGCCTGGGTCCCACGGACTCCCATCAGCACCCGCACTCATTGCTTTGCGAGAACCTGGGAAGAGGGAGAGGAGATGGTGAGGAATCAGGAGCCGTGGGGGGACTTCCCGGGGAACTCAGGAAAGTGAGGTTATAAGATGGACTTGGGGGCCCAGTTTCTGGAGTAGTTGGAGCTGACATCTGAAGAACCAGGCTGAGGGCTCTGAGTGGGTCCGAGGAACCTCCCTTGCGGCCCAGGAAGGCCCCCCTGCAACCTGGAGAGATGGCCCTTCACCTTCCCCATGGACCTACATGGCGGGCGCTGCACCAGCCACACCAGCCGGACAAGCAGCGTCCCTTCTCTATGCCTCACCGCCCTCGTCTTTAATGACGACCTCGTCACACTATTGGACGGGTAGGATGCAACCACACACATCCAGCGCCTCGTAGGCACCTGGCGCGTGGCACACGTTGGATGAATGTGCACTCCTGACCGCTCTCTGTTTAGGGTGACCTGGGACCTGCTTCCCTAACACGCCCACCCTGGGGTTGCGTTCTTCTCCAGGAGCTTTAGGAAACCATTCACACCTCCCTTGCGAACGAAGCTCGTCCCATACGTCCCACAGCATAGCCAGCGCTCTCTCTCCACCTAATGGTGACCGACCACTTCCTGCCGGCCTGGGCTCCGAGGGCCAGGTGTTCCCAATACTCCTCGGACGGCCCTGCCTCAGCTCAGCTACTCTGCACGGTCCCCCAGTGACTTGACTACCCAGGCCCCAGGCGCCCCTCCACCCACCCCGTCACTCTCTAGCTGTCCCCATCCATCCGCCTGAGGCTGCGCTCACCGGGCTGGCCAGCGCCTGTGGACTGCTCAGTCCCTTCTCTCTGACAAGAAGGCTCAGAGCCCAGCTGGTGTGGCTCAGCGGTTGAGCATCACCCCATGAACCAACAGGTCACCAGTTTGAGTCCCGGTCAGGACACATGCCTGGGTTGTGGGCTTGATTCCCAGTAGGGGGCGGGCAGGAGGCAGCTGATCAATGATGTTTCTCTCATCCATGTTTCTATCTCTATCCCTCTCCCTTCCTCTCTCTCTAAAATAAAATTTTAATAAAAAAAGAAGGCTCGGAATCTTTCTCAGTTGCGTGCTATGTTAGCCAGCTAGTTACATTTCTTTCCTGGCCCCTGGGTGTGGTCACCCTGCCTCCCAGAGGCCGTGAGGAGGCTGGGCCGGAGGCCCAGGCGGTGGTGAGGCTGCCACGGCACCCAGACACCTGGGCACCTTGTGCTTGGCAATGGGCAGCAGCATGTCTGACTGCGCGGAGCTCGGGGCCATGTGACTCTGGTCCTGGCCTCTTCCTGCCTGCACTCCCATCCGCGCCCCCGAGCCGACCCCCAGGACCCTCCCTCCTCCCTCCCTGCTGTGGGGGTCACCCAGCTCTCCTGCCAGCTGTGACCATTCGAGTCCTGATTCTGGAGCCCGGGCTCTGGAGAAGCAGAACGTGGAAGGGGGGATGGCTGGGCCGGAGCGGAGGAAGCGACGCTCCTGGAAGTAAATGGCTTTTCCATGTGTGTCCACGCTGCCTATTGGAGGCCAGCCATAGGCCCTCGGGACCCGGTGGGAGACGAGCCGAGGGCTGGAGAGGAAATGGGAAGGCTCGCAGTCCAGGCGACAGGGCTCCTGCTGGCTGAGAGGAGGAGGGAGGAGGCCGGAGGGCCAGAGGGCCCGCAGGGGTCACTGCTCAGTCACTGCTCCTTGGAGGAAGTGAGGAAATGAACGAGGTCCTAGAAGGAGAGTGAGGGAAGGGAGAATGAAGATCAGGAGGGGAAGGAAGGGGAGGGGAGGCCGGGGAGGAGGAGGCCAAGGTACTATGTGGAGGCTGGAGCCCCCTGGGGACCCCGGGGCAGGAGGCCGGCTTCTGCACCAGCTCTGCCTGGTAACTGCCCTCCTTCCATCTGCTTGAACATCCTAGGAGCCCTTTCACAACCAGTCCTTCCTGGGCCTCCATGGGCAAGACACTCCACTGGGCCTCCAGTTTCCTGGTCAGTTCAACATGTGATTGCAATGCCTGCCCTGCCACTCTCAGAGCTGGAGGGTGGGAGAGTGGGAGAGGACAGTGAAAAGTGCACCACTGCCCAGCGGCTGTGGCTCAGTGGTTGAGTGTTGACCCAGGAACCAAGAGGTCACGGTTCGATTCCCAGTCAGGACACATGCCCGCGTTCTGAAAGAGAGGGAAGGGGCTGGAGCGGGGAGGTGGTGGGAGAGAAACATCGATGTGAGAGAGACACATCCCCTAGGTGCCTCCCACACTTGCCTTGACCGGGACTGGGGATTAAATCTGCAAACCAGGTACATGCCCCTGACTGGGAATCAACCTGTGACCCTTCGGTCCACGGGCCAACGTTCCAACCACTGAGCCAAACCAGCCAGGGCACTGTCATGATTTTTAGGAAGCAGCTGGTGCTGGGGCCGCAGCACAGGTTTGGGGTGAGGAATGCAGCCTCCAGGAGAGGAATGCTCGAGGCGGAGGCCCCTCCCTGCTCCAGCTGGCACTGCGGCCTCCACTGTGTGCGGAGTGTCAGTGCTAGGACTGTTTTCTGTGGGTGAGGGTCTGGAGGAGCACTCGGCCTTGGCTGGACCCAATGGGTGTCTGTGTACGGGGCTGAAGGAGCCAGACCGGGCACCTGAGGTCGGTGAAGGAAGCCGGGGCCCAAGGAAACCTCTGGCCTTCCTCTCCATCTTCCCGCCTG